ATGAAAAAAAACGCGAATGTTTCTTTTCACAAATAAATGAAACTTCTACTGTCCTTACTGCGATTAAAAAGGAAAGCTTATGTCCTAAGATTCCACTCTTCAGTGTAGCTTATATAAGTAGAATGATTCAAAACAGTATTAGAACTCTAAAGAAGCGGTCAGGTAGATTGAATTGGTGAAACTGCTTGGAGAGTTCACCACTAATGAACCAAACCTTCCTATTTTTTTTAATCGCAGTAAGGACAGTAGAAGTTAGATTTATTTGTGGAAAGAAATACTCGCGTCTTATAATGTTTACATTTATAACTCCGCCTTTGCCGGTCCCAAGCCCGGGTGAAAAAGGAGGAGGAGGAGCAGTAACAAGCTCGCTAAAAAACCAGGATTATCTGGCCATGCTGATAGTACCCTGTAAGGGCTCCAGGGATACAGGATGAGCAGCGTTTGTACTCCATGTTAGGAGTGGTTGCACATGGCGTCTGTTCCTCATGTCAGAGGCGGTCATTTCTTTTGGAGCTAAGTCGGCCTGCCACTGAGTAGTACTCCCAGTCTTAATGACAAAGGCAGACGCATTCTACTTCACCCAATAAAGATCTCAAGCTTTAAAAGCTTGATTCCCCAAATATGATTGAGTGTAGATAAGAAGGAAAACATTTGTTATATATAGATGGCGTGTTATTGCTTTGTAAAAGTTTCTCTGAATTGAATAAGGGGCAAAAGGTTTCTGGAGAAAAGTTTTCTTTCCATTTTTATTTTAATCTCAAGATTCCAGGCATTATCTCCCTTCTACAGAAGTATAAAAATGAACAATAATGAAACTTCGTTAGATCTAACGGTGTTTTATTATTGTTCATTATTGTACTCTTGTAGAAGGGCTGTAGATAATACCAGAAAGTTTGAGATTGAAATAAAAATGGAAAGTAATTCACATCTCCAGAGACCTGTTACCTTTATCAAATACAGGAGGATTCACATCTATTTCATAGTTTCTTTTAATTATGAAAAAATGAATAAATAAAATTGATTCAATAATATTTTCATTTCCACAAATATAAGTGCCTCCAGAAATATCACGTATAAAGTCACTACTTTTTTAGTGCTCCTTCACATTTTTGTTATAGATATGCGAGTTTTTGAGAGACAATCTGTACAAACAATAACGCTAATTATAAAGTGATAACGTTCCATCTATATATATGAAACTAGACGAATGACCCGGGCAACGCCCGGGTTTACCCGATTAAATGTTTTATTCAAACACTATTCGTTACAATTATAAATTGGCGCCGTGGATGTCACTCTTGTGAAACGTCCCGCTCCAAACTTTACAGTCAGATTAGTTAGGATATAAATCTTCAAATCGAGCGAGCGTCTATAAATATTTCGATTTAGATCAAGTATTCTAATTAGTAAGCGAACTATTATTAATAAAATATTGAAAAGATTTCGATTTTAAACGTATTTATAACCTTGATAGAGGGCGCTGTTCGTGAGCTAAGTAGAATAATTTGAATTTATAGTTTTAATATTTAATTTATGAACGGAAAAATATGTCCAGGGTAGCCTAGTGGTCATGGCATCTGCCCGGTAAGCGGAAGGTCGTGGGTTCGATTCCCATCCCTTGACACTTTTTTTATTTTATCCATTCTGACCAAAATCTATCCGTGAACTTCACACAGTGAACTTCACACAGACAGAATAAGGCAATTATATAAGTAGATTAATAATAATTATTATTATCATTAGATAATGATAATGATCATAATGATGATGCACGCGTTGATGACCAAAATCTATCCGTGAACTTCACACAGACAGAATAAGGCAATTATATAAGTAGATAATAATTATCATTAGATAATGATAATGATCATAATGATGATGCGCGCGTTGATGACCAAAATCTATCCGTGAACTTCACACAGTGAACTTCACACAGACAGAATAAGGCAATTATATAAGTAGATAATAATTATCATTAGATAATGATAATGATCATAATGATGATGCGCGCGTTGATGACAAAAATCTATCCGTGAACTTCACACAGGGAACTTCACACAGACAGAATAAGGCAATTATATAAGTAGATGGAGGCATCATCAAAGCATGAATGTTTTTAAACATAAAATAAACTTATTCTTTCCTTACTGCGATGAAAAAAGTTCACCATTGAGGAGCCAATCTCTCCCAATTTTTCATCGCAATAAGGATATTACTTATTTTTTAAGCAATTCAGGATTCCTTCAATTTGTACATTTCAGCATGTATATCGGGACTCAGACAATAACTCTGAAAGATATTACAGTGACCTTTATTGAAGACACACGAGATAACATACACTCATGGACATAACTTAAGGAAGTTGTACCTTCCACCATGTATAACGGGATTCAGACAATAACTCTGAAAGATATTACAGTGATCTTTATTGAAGACACACGAGATAACATAAACTGATGGACAACCTGAAGGAACCTGAATTATAATAAGAACAATATTTATTATTTAAGTAATTCAGGTCACAGAAGCGTACAAAAAAGGTAATAGTCTACAGCAAGCATGTCAAACTCAAATCCTAACACGGGCCAAATAAAAAAGTAATAAGATTATGTGGGCCGCAAAAAAAGAAAACAAGTAATTAAATTTTTATAGTAACATTTATGTAGATTTATTTTAAAAAATACTAATAAGAAAAAAGAAAGTAAAGTTAATATTTTCTCCATGATATTTGGCATCTCTTTTCTGCTATCATCTTTCCTACTTCGGGGGAAATCTTGTTCGCAGTGATTAATTCTAAAACTGACCCAAGGTGAACGTCAGTAATTCTCGATCTGATTGGAGACTTATTTCCTTTCATAAGTGAAAATAACTGCTCGCACCGATAAGTACTTCCAAACATGGACATAATTTCATTTGCTAATTTTCGAGTGTTTTCAAATCTGGCTGGCAAATATTTGTAAAATTCAGAAACGCCAACTTCAATGAATTTTGCCTTTAAATCTGAATCGCACTGGATATCTATTACCTCCATTTGCATATGATTAGGTACTGAATCTATATTTATCGAGAAAATCGAAGAAAACAAAGTAAACTTGCCTTCCAAAGATTTGAAATCAGAAAACCTTGTTTTAAATTTATTTCTAAGACTTAAAATTTTTTCCGCATATTTTTGATACGATGCAGTTTCACCTAAACTTGATTTGTACATGTTGCATGTCGGAAAGTGCATTAAATCTTCGTTTTTCAACTGCTTTTCCCAAATAACTAGCTTACATTTGAATGCATTAACTTGGTCACACATGTTGGTAATGATCTGATCCTTTCCTTGCAGTTTCAAATTTAAATCCGACAAGTGTTTTGTTATGTCAACCATGAAGGAAAAATCTTGCAACCATACTTGATCAGAAAACAAAGTGATGTATTGATTCTTGGTTATTAAAAACTGACATATTTCTTCTTTCAAGTCCCAAAATTGTTTGAGAACCTTGGAGCATGATAGCCAACGTACCTCGGTATAGTATGATAAACCTGAATATTAGCTTTCTAATTCAGTTAAGAACAGAGAGAACTGTCGCTGATTTAAACCTCGAGATCTTATGAAATTGATGAATTTTTTGATAGGTGTCAACACATTTTCCATTTTTATTACCTTCGTACATAATACTTCCTGATGTATAATGCAATGCGTATGATGAATATTAGAACCATCAGAAATTTCACTTGGTTTTTTTCGCAGTAATGCTACGAAACCGTTGGTTTTTCCAGTCATTGAAGGAGCTCCATCTGTTGCTACAGAAGTCAATTTTGATTGAGGTAAATTGTATTTTTGCAGAAGATCATAAACGCAATTAAATATATCTTCTCCTGTAGTAGTGCCATGCATCGGTACTAGTTCCAATAATTCCTCAAAAATGTTGAAATCCGTGTCGCAAGCTCGAAAAAAAAGAGCTAACTGAGCTACGCCCCCAATGTCCGTACTCTCATCACAGGCAATGGAAAATGCTTCGAAACAAGATGATTTTTCTTTTATCTGATCATTCAAATTTCTGGCCATATCAGTAACTCTTTTCACAACGGTATTTCGAGACAAAGATATTGCATGAAACGTCTTCACACTTCCAGGACAAACAATTTCTGCAGCTTTAATTAAACATTCCTTGATGAAATAACCTTCAGTAAAAGGTTTTGAGTGTTTAGCTATCATCTCCGATAAAACGTAGCTTGCATGCACCGCCGCTTCACTCTCTTGTGATACTTTAGTAAACATAAACTGTTGTTTTTTCATTCCCAACTTGAACTCTTTTAACTTTTCTTGTCTCATTAAACCTTCGTAGGTATCATATTTTGATTTATGTTGTTCATAATGACGTTTAATGTTATATAATATTGGTACACTAATAGCATTATTACATATCAAGCAGATGATTTTATCTTTTACTTCAGAGCAAAAATACTCTAATTCCCACTTTTCTTGAAAATTCCTATGTTCGTCAGCAATTTTTCGTTTAGTTTTACTGCCACTTGGTTTTGATGAAGACATATTGAATACAAAGGTCTGAAAAAAAATTAGTAATCGCTAACACAAACAAATAAAACGTTTTAATTAATATTTTTTTTTTTTTAAATTAATATTTTTAACTTACCAGACACAGAATAACTGCACAAATTATTGAACGTAACTTAAAAAAAATATTTTTTTCTAGTACTCCGAAAGAATATTTTCTTTAAATTTTAAGGCACACAATACTTATGGCGATGTACATACGTTATGTATGTAGGTATAATATTATCAAAACTTACGACTTATGTATGGCGACCAGTGGTTCGTTATTAATAAATAAATTATGTATAATTACAATTTTTAAAAATTAGGCTACAAATTTTTATTAATTTTTTTTTATTTATAATTTTTTTTTTTATTAAAATATATTGTCTGGTGGGCCGCAAATTTATTCGTTGTGGGCCGCATGAGGCCCGCGGGGCGCAAGTTTGACATGCTTGGTCTACAGCATCCGGTTGTTCCCAGGTGGTCACCCTCCCAAATACTGACCAAGCCTTACATTGCTTAACTTCTATGATTGGACGAGAGAGAGAACCGGTGTTTTCAATATGGTATGACCATATAAGAACAGTAGAAGTTTATTTTATGTTTAAAAATAACATAAATATCGTTTATCTATCGCTTCCAATGATTTACATATAAAATTTCAAGAAAAAAACAGAAACCTATGATAGTTTATCACTATCGGTTTTTACACATAATTAATATTTTATCTTCCCCATGAGAATATTTCTGATAAATTACCATTTTTATATAAAAATGTTCTCTATTTATATTGTTGATGCGCTGCTGGAGTCATTTATTCAATGTAACATTCTAACTTACTGTCTACATCTTTTCTTATGGATATAATTGTAATTTTTTACAACTTATTTATTTTTAATAACTTTCATGTATAATTTTTTTTACATAATTTGGTTTTGTATAATTATTTTACATACTTTTATATCGTTGAATTTTGCCTACTTTTGTTGTTAGATCATTTGAGACAATAATCTTTTAGTTAGAAAGTTCTTTTCTTCCAAACCATTAGTTTGGGAATAAACGTTAAAAAGACTTCTCGGATGTTTTCTCCCAGTACGTCAAGTCACCAGCTCAACAATATTTGAAAAACACTTAATATCATAAAAATAATCATCTTTAACACCATTTGTAGCATGTGTATCGCTTGTCACTAATCCTCTATCATGTGTAAATAAAAATAATTCAAATATTGTTTTTAAATCAACACAATAAATTGGAGAGAGATGAGACACAACGATATATGTATAACAAAATGATTGACTTTTCCTCTTATTGTTTTTATGAGAAAAAAAAAATACTCTCGGACAAAATTCAAGGAAGTTGTACCTTTCAGCATGTACAAGGTGCGTTCATTAATTTCCTGGACTGCTCTGTATCTTTGAAAAAATAAAACAAATAAAAAAACTAATTTAATATTTTTCAAAATATGCCCCTCCTGCCTCAATACACCTGTTCCATCTTTTTTTCCAATTATCGAAGCAGGAGATAAAATCACTTTTTGAGACGTTCCTCAAGGTTGCCTTCTATTCAGCTTGTATCATATCAACGTTGTCAAATTTCCTTCCTTTTAACTTCATTTTAAATTTAGGATAGAGGAAAAAGTCATTGGGAGCTAAGTCGGAGGAATAGGGTGGATGAGGGATCTGTATGGTTGAATGCTTGGCCAAGAACTGCAAAACAACATGGGCTGTGTGCGGCCGCGCATTATCGACGTGAAGTATCCAGTCATTGTTTTGCCATCTTTCAGGTCTTTTAAGGCACACTGCCTCCCCAAATAAACCTTTTGATTAATTGTACGTCCGAAAGGAATAAATTCATGGTGAACCAAACCATTAATATAAAAAAATGTAACAAGCAATGTCTTGACTTTGGATTTTGTAAATCTTGCCTTTATGGGTTTCGGTTCCCCTCTTTCAATCTATTGGCTGGATTGACGTTTGGTTTCCGGGTCATACTGATATACCCATGTCTCATCCCCGGTAATGATTTTTTGCATTCTGGATCGGTCCGAGTCATTTCAACCATGTTTTTGCAGACATCCATTCTAACCTCCTTTTGTTCCTCTGTTAGAATCCGGGGAACAAATTTTGAAGACGTCCGGATCATGTCCAAATCTTTTGTTACTATTTGATGACACAGTCCTACAGATAGTCCAATCTCTGAAGATAAGTCTTTAATAGAAATTCTTCTGTTAGATTTTATTAATTCATTTATTTTGAGCTTGTTTTCCTCACAACGTAATGATCTTGGACGCCCAGTATGCTGATCATCGTTTACCTTTTAGGAAGCGTGAAAACCATTCAAAAGTTCTTGAACGGGATAAAGCTGCATCGCCAAAAGCTTCTTTAATCAATTCATACTTCTCAGTAGCACCTTTTTTCAATTTAAAACAAAACTTAATGCAGATTCTCTGCTCTTCGAAAATGGCCATTTTAAAATTAGAAATGCGAACCTTACAAGGAAGTTGTTTTGTTCTATTTTTAGATCGGCGCGTGCGCCACGAGATTCGTGCTTTCAGTCAGGTGTGGTCGAATGTCCAATATTCAACTCTGTAAAAAAATATTTTCTCTAGCTTTTTTATATTTTTTATTTTTTAACCAGTCCTGGAAATTAATGAACGCACCTTGTATATCGGGATTCAGACAATAACTCTGAAAGATATTACAGTGACCTTTATTGAAGACACACAAGATAACATACACTCATGGAAAAAACTTAAGGAAGTTGTACCTTTTAGCATGTATATCGGGATTCAGACAATAACTCTGGAAGATATTACAGTAACCTTTATTGAAGACACAAGATAACATACACTCATAGACAAAACTTGAGGAAGTTGTACCTTTTAGCATGTATATCGGGATTCAAACAATAACTCTGAAAGATATTACAGTGACCTTTATTGAAGACAGACGAGATAACATACACTCATAGACAAAACTTAAGGAAGTTGTACCTTTTAGCATGTACATCGGGATTCAGACAATAACTTTGAAAGATATTACAGTGACCTTTATTGAAGACAGGCGAGATAACATACACTCATAGACAAAACTTAAGGAAGTTGTACCTTTTAGCATGTATATCGGGATTCAGATAATAACTCTGAAAGATATTACAGTGACCTTTATTGAAGACACACGAGATAGCATACAATCATGGACAAAATTTAAGGAAGTTATACCTTTTAGCATGTACGAGGTGTGTTCAAAAAGTATCGCGAATTTTGAATTTTCGCGGATTACGTATATTCGAATTTCGATCTTTTTGTGGCTTTATGTTGGTACTCATGTCTCTCACTTATGCCGACAAGCTCGGCCATTTTGAATGTTCACTTAATTGTTGACAGCTGCTTTGCTTGCAGGTGTTTTGGATCGTCTTCGATTTTTACCTATTAAAAAAAAAATGGATCAAAGAACCTGTATCAAATTTTGTGTGAAAAACGAAATTAAGTGCGCGGATGCATTCCGAATGTTGACTGTGGCATACGGAGAAGCTACCTTGGACCGAAGCAACGTTTATCGGTGGTACAAAATGTTCTCAGAAGGCCGAGAAGATGTGAAGGACGAAGAGCGTGCCGGACGCCCGAGCACTTCAACAACAGACGAAAAAAATTAATGAAGTGGAGAAAATGATATTGGCCAATCGTCGAATCATCGTTAGAGAAGTTGCTGAGGACCTAAACATATCGATTGGCTCGTGCCATTCGATTTTTATCAATGATTTGGGCATGAGACGGGTCGCCGCGAAATTGGTACCAAAATTGCTCAATTGCGACCAAAAACAGCATCGCATGAACATTGCTAATGAGATGTTGGACTCTGTCCGCGACGACCCAAATTTGCTCCAGAGGGTCATAACTGGTGACGAAGCGTGGGTTTATGGTTATGACGTGGAAACCAAAGCTCAATCATCTCAATGGAAGCTGCCGCACGAACCAAGACCGAAAAAAGCGCGCCAAGTTCGGTCGAATGTGAAAGTTTTGCTGACAGTTTTCTTCGATTGCAGGAGCGTGGTGCATCATGAGTTCTTGCCACAGGGTAGAACGGTCAATAAGGAATATTACCTGCAAGTTATACGCAATTTGCGCGAAGCAATCCGCCAGAAACGCCCGGATTTGTGGAAGAACAAAAATTGCCTTTTGCACCACGATAACGCCCCTGCTCACACATCGTTGCTTCTGCGCGACTTTTTGGCCATAAACAACACACTAATGATGCCGCAGCCACCGAATTCCCCAGAACTGGCCCCCTGTGACTTTTTCTTGTTCCCTAAACTGAAGAGGCCTATGAAAGGACGACGTTACGCTACACTTGAGATAAAGACGGCATCGAAGGAGGAGCTGAAAAAGATTTTTTTTAATGATTTTTTGAAGTGCTTCGAAGATTGGAAAAAACCGTTGGCACAAGTGTATAATATCTCATGGGGATTATTTTGAAGGGAACAAAATAGGTATTCATGAATAAATGAATAATTTTTGAAAAAAGACAAAAGTCGCGATACTTTTTGAACACACCTCGTATATCGGGATTCAGAAAATTACTCTAAAAGATATTGGAGTGACCTTTATTGAAGACACACAAGATGACATACACTCATGGACAAAACTTAAGGAATTTGTACCTTTTAACATGTATATTGTTGCACCAAGTTGCGGCTTGGCAGACTCTTCAGCCTTGATTCTCTCCTGTGCTGGGTCTTGCATCTTACCAGAGCGTGTTTCAACCATCCTACAACTTTATAAAAGGGAATAACGAGATAAGTCTTCTTTAAGTAGCCTCCAGAATCATCTATTTATTTTCTCACATCAAAGAGAGCAGTGAAGTCACACGTGTACCTAAATACAAATGATGATAATCTAAATAATCTGTTTTAAATAAATATCAAATAATATAAAAATAAATAAATATATAATTTAAATTTCAAATATATTAAAAATAATATATGAAATACGCCATTAATCATGATGTAACACTTCCCCCTCTCCAGAGGTCGTCACGTCCTCGTGAGTTACCTCATCAATTCTCTCAAAATAGGGTTTGAGTCTTGAGACATGGACAATCAATGGGTCTTGGCCAGGATTATCTTTCTGGCTCAATTAAGTAATTTACGTTAGACAGCTTCTTTAATATTCGATATGGCCCAAAATATTTTCTCAATAGTTTTTCACATTTTCCGATTTTCCTGACTGGTGTCCAAACTGCCACTAAATGTCCTGGTTCATAGATTCTCTCGTTGTGTTTTTTTGTCATAGTTTCTCTTCATTCTTTCCTGAGTTTTCTCTGTGTTGTTAATGACTACCTGTCTCGTCCTTGCTATTTTATCTAAGTAATTTTCTATATATTCGTCATAATCGTTCATGTTACTGTCAATTGGGATATTATCGTCGTCTAAGAGGGACATGGGTTCCCTCCCAAATAACAAGAAAAATGGAGAGTAGCCTGTGGTTTCTTGAATCGTGGTATTGTACGCGTGGGTGACGAAAGGGAGGATTTCGTCCCAGTTCTTCTGGTCTGTATTTACATACATGCTTATCA